AACACGCCAATGAACAACTGTTAGAGATACTAAAGCAAATTAGTCCGATTCTTGCTATTTAATATGTCCAAAAAATATATGCCTTGTTTCAGTAACTCAAAAAATAAAATTTAATCTTTTATAGTTTTAAAAATCTAGCAACCAAACACTATTCAAACTCATTATACGTAGAAGTGAAGGTATAAAAAATTAGAGAGAACGCCAGTATGGAAATAGGACTAAGTAAAATCTAAATATATTTGTGTAAAATTTCCAAATTTGATATTTAATATTATCAGTTTGATTTAAAATTAAAATTCAGACACGTTCTTGCCTTTAACTAATCAGAAGGAAAACCTTTTCTTCAAAGACGACACTAAATATAAGATTTTATTTTCTTCATTAAAATCTTTGCATTGTATCATCAAGAATATAGATATGCATGTAGTTTAGATATTACATTCAGTAGAAATCAAACAAATTCTGCTTCCGAAACAGCTTTCCCTTTTTTTTTACGTTACTTTAGGGAATAGAATTGAAAATCCGTTTTAGAAAGACAGTGACACTATTATAAACGAATTCCGCTTAAAGTATATAGCGAGTTGATCCGTTAATAACTTCCTTTGGTATATAGTGCAAACAAGAAAAATTATGTCTCAATATTTGAAAACTCAATTTATTCTTTGGTATTTATTGATGCATTCTTAACAAGACTAAAATTTGAAAAATTCTGTCTTAATACTCATTGCATGAAGTTTATTCGCAAGACTAATAATCACTACTGCAACATGAATAAAATATTAATCATTAAAAATCCCGATTTTGGAAATGCTTACTTATTTAGTATGGAGTAAATTTGGGAATGTGTAAAAGAAAGCTTATTACCTTACTTTACTTTGTCAGATGCAACAACTAATTTTTTTAGTAATGTTTATCACATCTGCTATTACTTACATCTAAGTTATTCTGTAAATCTGCTATTACTTACATCTCATTTATTCCGTAAATCAGCTATTACTTGCATCTGATGTAAACGTTTAATAGACTTGCGTTTACAACAATAAACGTTAATTTCATTCAAGTTTAGAATGTAAGATCGTAATAGAGGTTGTAATATAAAGAATATTACAAATTTTATTCAATTTTAAATTTCGCGAAAAACTACTAAAATTGCACAAAGTAATTTTCAAGTCTTAAATCTATTTCGAAAATGCTTTCATGTTTCTTTACTAAGAATTACATTTCTTCAGCAAATGTTTTTTGTAAATTATCGCAGTAACTCTAAGAAAGTACTTAAAAGATAATATCGTGATATAAATCAATATTTACATAATGAATTTATAAACGGCAGTTACATGAAAACAGAAGCTATAAATACATGAAGTCCATTGTCATACGCTTTTATTGTACGTATAACAACAGGAGTTTCCAGTTGGGAGCAATTTGGAATTTCAGGTGGATAATCAAGAGCGAACTCTATCAAGTCACGAGCCATAACTCAGACAGTTGCCGGCGTGCGAACATGCTCGTAGGGAATGTAGTCGTTTGTGAAATACTTGCTACTGGTGCGGAGGATAGGGAAGTCTGAAAACCATTGTATTATAAGCACCGTAAATATTTCAGCTGATTTACCACACAGAATATAGCAGTTATAGTCGCAGAAGTAGCTATCTTTTTAATTTGATTCAGCGAAACTGAATTTAACAACAAAAAATTCGATTTAAATGTGAAAAGTTAAGGAATTCTAGTAAACAAAAGGAAGAAAACCTCATTAGCTGATTAGACCTGGTAGCTAATAAAAGCTCTTGCCTTAAATTTTAAGATATAAAGATTAGGGAAACTGTCTACAAACTTTAATAGGAAAGATTTTTCTCCCTCACCGTCTGCAGTTTAATGGTATCACAGAACCATAGTAGGAAATGCGTTCATGTGTTAGCCTTCGTCCTAAAATTACGTATCAAATAGGTAGAGGATGATAGCCAACATTTTAACACTTGTTAAAAATGATTTAGCTACAAATTCACAAATAGATGGGATTATATAATACCACATATAATTCAACTCAACTAGAACTCATTCCCGGCTGTGTTCGCAAAGTCAAAAGTGAATTGTTTAGGCAAACTGAATAAAATTTTCTTCGATTAGTATATTGTTTTTGAGTAATTTGAAAAATGGAAGATTTGCTTTCTAACAATTTTTTTAACTTCAAAATATCATCTAGATGCATTTTTTAAAAATCTAGATAATAAATACATCAAAATAGTAAAGTGTCGATAGTTTTATGTAAAATGATTTCTCAAAACCTGAAATTGATTCGGGTGAATACTTTCAGAGATGTCCAGAGTCCAGGTAAAAAAAATTCTCGAATACAGGTAAGCGATACATCAAACATTTCTATTTTAATCACGTTTCACGCTTTTCATGGGTTTAAATTAGCGAAGTATTCCGATTTGAATAAATGCTTTAACCACAATTATGTCTAGCTATAGACGTGCGTAAACTAACATTACGCAAAAAGTAATCGGTTTTCGTAAACCCTTATTTTAATGTGGCTCCGTAAATAAAAAAAAAATCTCTTTTCTTAGGCAGATATGCCTCCTGTGATGTTTTGCTGTGTTTTAATAAAGAAACCTCTATAAATGTAAGCGATAAGAATAATAAATCTGTGATACTCGAAAAGTAATTTTTACGTTTTCAGAATTTTCCATAATCATTAAAATAAAAACACCTTGTTCCGTTTTTTGTAGTTTTGTATTTTTTCATTAAATGAAGTAATAAAACGAGTAGTTTATTTGAAATATATTTTGATTATTTATTTGGTTAAGATTTTATTTATTTGAAACTGGTAAAAATCTGGGTTAAATCTCGAAAGAAGTATTTTTTAAATACTAAACTAAATGAGCAAGGAAAACTAGTTTCGAACAGATTAGTGAAAGCTAATCTAACGGCTGATCATATTTTAAAGATCAGCTGCTATTTAATAAATATCGGATGTAACATGAATATTTCTTTCGGAACTACAAATTTCAAGAAATAAACCAATTTTATTCAAGCAAAAATAACAAAATTAGAAATAAACTAGATTAAATAATTGTGAATTTTATCAATAGGTGAAAATAAAGAACATTAATCTTAAACAATTAGGTTCTTTCTTTAATCTGTACTTTGGAAAAATTCTGAAAAACCTAAAATTCACTTCCAGTATATTCATTTAATTCTTGTCGAAGGAAAAATTTAGTTACGCTTATATAGGCATTAGAATATCTACAGATTATTATGTAAAAATGTTTTCGTGATTGTGCAGAAATTAAAGTTTGTAAATATTCAAGAAAAACTCGAAATTTTCTAATTTCTGGTAGAATTTTATTTAAAATATAGAAGTTAACTGGAGAAAATGTTACAAAAATTTCCCAAGAAATTTTATTCTATAAAACTAATGATTTGAAAGCATGCGAGTAATTTAAAAAATCGACTATTTAAACTCGGAAAATATTTCTTGAAATGCAACTCTTAAAAAATGACTAATGCAGATTTCAAATAACTCGGATTTTTTTTAAATGCAAGATACTTTATTTTTAACTCGAAAATTTCTGCACATTGCTACATAATATGCAAATATATAAAACTTTTTAAAATCGTCAATATCACAAGCCATAGCTGAAACAAAAAGGAAAGAAAAACATCCTGCTCTGAAAATGTTGTAACTCGTGAGAAATTACCTACCAAAATACCGCTAACTAGAAAATAAAATAGAAATTTTCTTAAATATGCAACTGAAGTAAAGGGATGGAAAAAGAAAACTTGCAAGTCAAAGACAGAAAGAAGTCTTCGTTTTAGTGGCCTGTGAACAGTTTAATTTACTTAAATGGAAACTTCACAATAATGACGCCAAAGGAAATTACAAGAACACTTAAATTCCTTATATTTCTACAAGAACGTGTTAAAAAAATGATCCTCCACTGTATTTATTCTAAAACAGTTTTTTATTTGATCATCATTTCCAAAAACGTTTCCTTACGGTTCATAACTACAGTTAAAAGAGTACATGATCGTTAAATTATCATTAAATCATATTGCTCCTTTCAAGAATAGATTTATTTTCTCATAACAGTCTTCGTGCATGAATTTGAATTTCCCCGGTTTACTATAAAAATGCTGTAACATTTGAACAATGCAAAAGTACAATAAAAAATTTCAGTATAAACAAAGTTTATAAAGTTCTGGGATTTACTTGATTTATTTTAAGAGTGCAAGTCGCAAAAATAAATTAATTTGAACGAAGAGAACATATACTCCCTTAAACTCAAATTACTTTAAATACATTGGGAAGATTTCACCTCTGAAGGAGCAAAAAAGCAATTCTTGGAATTTCCTCAAGATATCAAGAACTGTTTCCTCAAAACTCGAAACATAAAATTAAGCACGCTAAAATCCTTTTCTTTCCTTAACCGCAAACTAGTATTCATTTAGAATGCGCTGAAATTTATTAGCTTGTTATTATTGTAGTCACGAATGATAGGATAAAATTCTTTTTTTAAAATGTTTTTTCCCCGAAGTTACACAGTTCTTTTAACAGCTGTTAAATTCCAACATAACATTCAGAATTTAACAGGCATTCTTGATATTCTAATTTTTAAAAGTGCCTGTTCTAAATCCAGTGTCAACACTCGATTTCATACAGGGGTAACCGTAAAAGATAGATATCAAAATTGTTTCCAAACTCATGAAATATATAAATGGCAACTAGTATCGCCTTTATTCTAAAGGACGCATTAAATGGTCACTGTAAAAGCATGCAAAACAAAAATCTTACATAATACTTCCACTCAAAACAGATTCTTTAAAGAGAAATTAACATTGTCCTTGGAACTTTTCAAAAAGAAGAAAACAGGTTATTCGGTTTAAGAAAAACAGCTACTCAAGTGGACTAATACTCTTCCTTCTTGAAGAAGGAAAAAGAGAAGCACATGACCAGTATAAACACGTAACGAAGAGGGAAAAAAAGTACTAAAAACACTCACCAGTTTGTGGGTCACCTGTTCAAAAGAGCAGCGGCGCCTCTTCACTCCACGCTTCAGCTCTGTAGCGAGTGCAGTGGCCAGGTAGAATGATAAATTGTTACACCTGGTATACTTGACGACATGCTGACCATGTGCACATGCGCGACGTAATTCCGACAGTCGTAGAGTTCTAAACGCACGTCTTTACCCACGATTCGTTTTTTTCGGTTGCGCGGATATTTAAAAGAGAGTAAACTTCGCTAAGAATTGCCCCCGCGATCCTAGCCATGACGACCTCGCGTTTTATTTAAAACATTAAGATGGGAAAACGTGGAAGCGAGTTCAGAAACTAGGCTGCACGCGACCCCAAGCGGAGATCTCTTGCAACTCAAATGACTGTTAAAGTCTTTACGGTGAAAGAGGAAAAAGGCCCTTTTTTTCTTTACATTCTTTTGCCCGCTTCTACGAGCAACAGGTACGTTATATAGTATCATTCAAAAACTCTTACACACAAAGGAATACATTTATTTCATTTGCACGTGTATTTTACTAAAACATTCTTTGAAAAGAATGATTGCGAATTTTTACCCTCACTCGGAACTAGTTTTAAAATCATTACTAAAAATAATTATCGTCACCGAAATGATAATAAAATTTATTATATAAAAAGTTATGTAACTAAAAATTGAATAAATGAAAACTTCAGGATTAAAAGTGCTTACATAAAACATGTTCTTCAAATTCGGAGTTTGAAAATTAGTCACCGTAAATGTGTAACTATTTGCCTCAACATACTGTGGTGCACTCGGATCAGCTTCGTGATATTATTCAAAAATCTGTGTAAAATATAATAAAGAATAATAAAGAAGAAATTAGATTTTAAATAAGTCGTTTATAAGGACTTATTCTTTTTGTGATTTTGCATTTCAAGATGCTGTTGAGGGTAATATCATTATAAGAAATATTTTTTCTGTCATGAACTTTTTTCAACCTCATATTGTATTCTTGATTTCCAAAATTATTTCAGAAATTTGTATTGCCAAATTACTAGAACTTAAAGCTTATTTTTAAAGTCCTTTATTTAATTCTAGCTTAAATTATGTACTATACTACATGTTTCTTCCTTCATATTCAGAATTATTGCATCAGTCGCGCTTAAGATAGCTGAAATTCGTAAATGTTTGTAACAGTCATGTAGGATAATTTTTCTGACAGAAACACAAGAACTGAGTCAAAGATTTTGCTCCAGACTAAATAATGCTTAGGTTTGTTCTCACATTAGCTAAAGTAAATGATTCTTACGTTATGAAAAAAGGTTTTATAAAATTCAGCCAATAAAGTTTTTATAATTAAAATAATAACTCGTTTTGCTCTCCCTGATCTCAAATTAAAATTAAGGTATAAAATCTTTGAAATTATCGGTCTCTAAAATTTCTAAATTGCTTTTATATACTAATTTTTGTCATTGAAAATGTTGCTAAAACAATAAAAATGGAGCTTAAAATGATATTTCTACGGAGTACTAAATTGTATTTTAAACTGTCATAAAATACGTTATCAAAATTTAGAAAAGACATGATTTACCCTCGAATTAGCTACCCAATAATGTCCAAGTAAATCAGCGCACTTTCTGGTTATTCAGGTTCAGTTTAGTGAAAACTACCCGACTGCATGGAATTTTCTTAACAACTCTTTCTATGTGTGATGTGAATACCAGCCAGATTCCTTCAGAAAATTCGCTTCACCAGAGGCCAAGTGGTTAAGATCAATGAATATTGGGAGTTCAACTCGGGTTCGATCCCAAGCAAACGGATTGGCTGCATGTCGGTTTTCGTGTTTTTCCCCATGTGTTACGTATTTGCGAGCCAGTTCCCTTTGGAAAGTTCTCCACGAAAGCATCCTCTCCTTAGGTCCATTCAGAATGTCTTCCACGAAAGCAACCATTCCCTAAGTCAAATAGCCCTTGAGTACTTTGCCCTAATCAAATAAATCAAACGAAACCTTAGGCAGATAGTCCTTAATTGCTTTGCAATATTTGAATAACCTAATCTAATCTAGCCCTCAGGAAATTCTCCACAAACGAATTCTTCCTAAGACAGTCATTGCGGGCTTTATAATATTCAACTGACCAACCAAATTTGCGAATTAGCTAATAAATACAAGCCATCTTAATATCTTTCATTAATTACGCAAGAGCCGATTTTCATTGTAATTATTAGAAAACAGATTATATATTATTATTATTAACATTAATAAAAACTTAAATCTAAAAGGAAAAAAGGGAGATGAGCATGATTTCTGTTTTTGATGGAAAGCTCCTATTTAGTTACATTGTTCCTAGAAACGAAAATGATCGTACTTACAAAGTAAAATACTTACATTACCGTATTAATTGAAAATATATTTTCATACAAACGTATTGCATGGAAAGGGAATAATCAATAAAATTTAAGCCTAATACACTTATACAAGAAATTATCTAAAATTACTTTCTCATCGTTCTACGTACATTCCCATGACTTCAATATACCTAGCATATCTATACGTTAAGCATCGCATTCCGGCAGAAAAAAAAAAGTTCCGTCACAGCCTTCAAACCATTTCTGAATGGCGTTCTTCAGATCATCGTCGTCCCTGTCACATGAACCACGAAATTCTGCTTGATCTGGGGGAACAAAAAATGAAAAGTCACCTGGGGCTAGGTATAGCGAATACAGTAGTATAGTTGTGGGACAAGCCGCATATCCGCATTCCTGAATAACAATCTGGATTGGTTTATGCGATCATGGCAAAGCTGTATGGTGCTGTCGTGCCTAAAGGCTGGGATGCCTTCGTAGAGAACATTTTAAGGAAAACCGGCTCGTATTCCTGTTACACATGGGTAAAACCACGAAAACGCCTTTGCAGCCAGCCCGTTCGTCTGTACTCGAAATACCAGTCTTCAGCGGTTTTATCGCTCAGCCGCTGGTGAGTATAGTAGCCTATAAATTTCAGCCTTCTATACCGCAGCATTCTCGTGAAAAAGAAAATTCTTCTAAAAACAAAAACTTGAGCTTTCGGTTTTCTTCAAAAATATGTGCATGTGTCTACTCACCTAGAAACGTTTAACAGGAAAAAACATTAGCTGCTCATATTCAATTGACAATCCAATATAATTATTAAGTATAGAGCTTTCGATCGCGAGTGGCAAATTTCTGAAAATATCTAGAAGAGTCTTTTAATTTCGTAAAAACTCCAAAATGCGCAGCATTGCCAAATGTAATTAGATTTGATTTATTTGATTATGGCACAGCAGACGACTGCTATCTGCATAAGGAAAAGGATGCCTTTGTGGAGGACTTTCTAAGGGAAACTGTCTCGTATCTATGCTACACATGTAGAAAACTACGAAAGCGCCTAAACAGCCAGCCCTTTTGGCGGGATTTAAACCAAAGTCGAACTATCAGTTTTCGGCTGCTGGTGGCCCACCAGATATACAGTTACTATAAAAAGTATTAGACCTTTGTTCAATTATCTAAACAATTCGTCATTAAAAAGCATTAAATAATGAATTAGAAATTCTATTTGTGCAATCTCAAAAATTACAGAACAAAGATATGCCTCAGGCTCATTTCCAAAAATATTATATAAATTTATAGTACCATAAAAATCAAAAACATTTTGATTCCAAAGCATGGGTCAAAAAAGTATTCGACTTTTTTCTAAAATGGAAACAAAAAAAGTATTTATATTATAATTAATATTTTGTTGGATGTCCCTTAGACTTAATAAAGGCTTTCAATCCAGATGGAATGGTTACAACTAGTTTTTTTTAGGGTCCTGTATTTTATACCATTCTTTCTCTAAATGCTGTTTTAGCTTCTTATTGTTTGTTCTATCTTTATTTCTGATCCTTCGATCTAATGTTTCTTATAAACGTTCAAATGGGCTTATGTCTGGTGATTCTGGTACTGTTTCAAGTACTTTCGGTGTGTTGTACAGTAGCCAAAGTCGGGTATTTAGCGCTTTAGCACTGACATGTAAATTTGTTATACGCCTTATGGTCCATTATGCCATCGATAAAATGTAGTTTTCCTATACCTGCATCAGACATGCGCCCCCATACCATAACGGAACGTCCGTCATGATCTACCGTCGATCGGAGACTTCTGTATTCAAATTTTTTATTTGATTGTCTCCATACCTTGCGATTACTATCTGCTCGAAATAAGTTATACTTACTTTCATTACTAAATATAATTTTAAAAGTCTAGACCTTCATTTACATATTTTTTCGCAAATGACAGCCTTTTCTTTCTATTGACTTTCATACGTAATATTTTTTCCAGCTGATCGATCTTTATGAGGAAACTCTTTAAAGGTTTCGGTACAAACTTCTTTCTCAATCAGTAGTTTCAATTCTGGACCACTTAAGGTCTGATCTTGCTGACTCCAGATATCGTTTTACTATATATTTTACAGCTGATGGTGATTTAATAGTTTGAGCAATTTTCTCATATATTTCTCCAGATTTCCTCATATTAATTAAATTTTACTTTCTTCAATTGTAGATTTTTTCTTTGCAAGATATTATGTAATTTCCCGTTTAAAATTGAAGACAATAGGATGTCTTCAAACCACTTCAAACGACCTATGAATGGCCACAGTCGAATGCTTTAGCGGTAAAGACAGGTCATTTACAAGAAAGTCGCTTTTATCCCAATCAAATCTGGTTTTTTTTTAAATATGATTTTGCATTTAATGACTAGTATAGACCTTGATAAAGGCTACATTAAAAGAAGGTTAGCTACGCTTTTATGTCATTTTAAAGGCATTAATTAGTAAAGTCAAATATTTTTTCAAAAATTGCAATTAGATGAGTATATTTTCGTTTTTTTAGTCACATGGTTTTAGCAATTAACCTTTTTTCTAGTATTATATGCTTCTAAATCAGTAAAGGCATTTGCAGTTTTCTGGATACTGCTTTATTTCCAGTAATTTCAATGTTTTATCGAAAACGCATCCTCAGTTTATTTAAACATTCAAAAAGAAAGCTATAAAATTAGAATTAGCTGATAAACTCCTGTAAATGGAACAAAAATAAAGGCCACCTTCCCCATGATGATATTGCTAAATGACCGATGGGTTCCGCCATTCCTGACAAATGCTTAACAAGTAGTCACTAAAGGAAGAAATTCGTTTTTGTTTAAGACGAATTACAAAAATTTTAAAAATAAAATTATCAGAAATTGTTTCTATTTAACAATTTTGGGCCAAATATAATTTAAAATTACTATAAATTTGTGCATATAATTTCACAATTTTCAAACGCAGTCGCTTTTGCTGGATATGCAGAAAGTCCTAACTT